CGTCCTTCAATGTCCAAGTGGTACCCAATGAAGTCTTTATGTCTATGTCACCTATTCCTGTGATGTCAAGAGTGCGATGGTCAGCCAAACGAACTTTACCAAAATTACCTGTTCGTAGATTCTTCATCATCTTCGTGCTGAAAGTAGCATGAAATGATGCACCAGAATCCAAGATCCACGACTCTGCTGAATTCTCAACACAACAGATAAAGGCATCGTCTGAATCATCAGTTGTTGCGTTCACCTCTTTGTTTCCATCTGATTGTTTAGGGCATTGATTTCTGAAGTGCCCAGTTTCTTTGCACTTCCAACATTGGATGTCTTTTCTTGGTTTTGAGTGGCTCCTCTTTCTTGACTTTGATCTACCTCTGCCATTACCCCTTTCTGTCTTTCTACCTCTCCCTTCAGTGCTTAGCAAAGCACTAGATGATTCTCCAGAACTCTGTCTCCTTATGTCCTCTCCTAGGATGAAATCACGAATGCCCTCAAAGGTGAGTTTAGAGGTTCCAACTGAACCACTAATGGCAGTGACAGTTCCTGACCAACTTTCCGGTAACGAGGATAACAAAAGCAAAGCTTGGACTTCATCTTCAAACTTAATATCAACAGATAACAAGCGCGATATAATGGTATTGAAACCATTAATGTGAGGTAACAGACATACCTTCTTTCATTCTGGTGTTTACTAACTGTCTTATCAGAAAGACTTTGTTAGAAGCAGAAGGTTTCTCATACATGTTTGACAAAGCTTTCATCAATCCACATGCAGTAGTCTCCTTCACAATGTTAAAGGCCACATTCTTGGCCAGTGTAAATCTGATAACAGCCAAGGCTTTTCTGTCTAGAGCACCCCATTTATTGTCTTCCATCCCTACGGGTTTTATTCCTGTCAAGGCTTGATCCAAGTCTTTCTGACACAGAAGATCCTCGATTTGCATCTTCCACCAACCAAAATCTTGTCCATCAAACTTCTCAATTCTGGTTTTTCCGTCCTCAGCCATTATCCCAGACTTTTAGCAACGGCGGCAGCGATGAGCAGCGGCGGCAAACAGTAACAGCGGCGGCAGCAGACAGCAGCGGCGGACAGCGGTGGCGGCGGACAGCGGCGGCGGCGGACAGCAGCGGCTGTGGCAGACAGCAGCGGCGATAGCAAACAGCAGCGGCGGTAGACGACGGCTAGGGTTTCAGCGATTGAGTGTAACAGATCAAGAACCTAATGCTCTGATACCAGTTGTTAGGACAAACGTTACACACGCAATACGCACAACCCAAAAAAACAAGAGAAGAACACAAGAATTTACGTGGTTCACACGATCAGATTGATCGTGCTAGTCCACGGGGGCAACTAGGGTTTTCTTTATTTAGGTGCTACAACGTTTACAAGTACAATGAGATTAATATATATAGACAAACATAATTAGGGTTATCTCCTAATCAAGGAAACTAGGGTAGAGACTAGGGCCGGCTCCTTTTGGGCTAGGGCCGGCTCCTTACTTTATGCCTCCTCCCTTTTGTCTAACTTAGTAGGCCGAAGCCTACATTCCAACACCATCTTCTAGTCACAGGAAATAAAATTGGGGTTCTTTTGTCAGGTAATGTTATTTTATCTACGATTTTCAAGTCCAGTATGAACAAAATGAGCGCAACTAGATTGCGATTTTAAGAAGTGGAGTGAAGCTCATATTAAACTCCAATATGTTCTTGTGTACCTAGCAACTATCATCCTAATCAGCCATACTTGAGTATAGATAACAAAAACGGCAACAGACAGTAGATAGCGAAAATAATGCATATGCTGCAACAACTAAAGTTAGTTTCAGATTGATTACCCCATGAAGACTAGCAGAGGCAGTGAAACGCATCTCTTTTATCCATTTCATGATCGCTTTTGTCTCAGGTTGTCTTTTGTTGAAATCATCATTCATTGGAAAGAACTACATCATGTAATGATCGGTTCAGTGCTTTTAACAATCAGTTACATCAACTGAAGAAATAAATTAATATTATCATATTGTTCTCGCACGTTCACACTCAAAATCAGTGAATAAAAACATGAAAAAGTTATGTTGTCAACGATTTCATAATATGTTGTCATGATTTCATCACCAACAAAAATAGGTATTTCTCCCCACAATTAAATTTCTGTTGATATTTCAAGTAAAACCTTCGGAATCCAATGAGAACCTTTTCAAAGAAGGTAAAATTGGTTTCAGATCCATTTACAATTGCAACTGGAATAGAGCTTCTCTGACAAAAAAATATGATGAGAGGATGAAAATACCTGGTCCGGAAAATCACGATTGAGATCAATGCCCTTTGCATTACCGCGCCTTCTTAGTGAAAACCCATCAGGATTCATCGATGGAAGGATGTGAAGGTGCACCTTCTCTACTATCAATGTCGCCTGCATTGAACAGTGGCTCCCAGATCAGTGTAAGTCAAAATTGGGAATAGAGTATACAAAATCACATGGTTTATGGTTAACTTAGATTCCTGTCAACGTTTACATTGTAGATCATTTGCAGATATTAGCTCAACCATGAACTGGCTTAATAAACATCTGAAACTCAGACAAGAAGAGAAATACTTAAAAAGAAAGCAGACAAATTGCCACCATAGCCATATATTGCGAACAAAAAGTGCCTATTGTTGCAAGAATAGTTGTCAGTGAGATAGCACTTGTATTGCAGGGCTGATTTTACATTGGCTAAATATGGTTCTGAACTGATTAATATTAGAACATATAACTCAATTCAATTGGCATTCAATTGTAAAATAGTTAAAGTAGGTTTTCAGGATGCACTCCTCAATGGTTATCTCCTACAAGTCATAAATGGCCTCCCTTGGAAAAAGCGCAAGTAACAGAGATGCATCATACATTGACATATTTTGTCACAGGCCTGTATAGACCATACTTCAGAAATGCCTTAAGCTTGTACACCTAAGATCCTACAAAAGAATATTTGCACAATAAAGCACATGACAACAAGAACTAACAAGAAAACCTCATAATCTATGGTATGACATCGAATAACCAGCATACACCATTGAACACCCCAAAAGAATGCAGTTACCGGAAAAAAACTACGAAAAACGCATTCCAAAATTGACATGATCACCCAAGAATAAGAAGGTCTAGTAAAGATTCAAAAAAAACCTTAAGGGGGGCTATATAAAGAAAAATAAGTGCATTCTCTCAAACTTATAGTCGAAATACATACTTTGGTGATTGTCCTTATTGTTTACTATCCTTGTTGCTTGATTGAAGGCACACTTTTTTCTAGAAAACAAAGTTCATATGTAGCATACTCTCTGGTGTCTTCTCGAAATCATCGAAACTTTATAAGAAAATATGAACTCTTTGATAGAGTCTCAGTTTCTCTCTTGTTTGTCCAAAACCTTTTCGCAAGCCGTGGGTCTTCATCAAACCAATCTCTCTACCCCTTGGGGTAGAGGAAAGGTACGTGAACCTCCTACCCCCATAACCTACTTTCGAATGGGATATATCGAGTACATTGTTTGGTTACTGTGGAAAATCTGCTTCATTGTTATCTCTAAGATAGGTTTAGACGTATTCTTTGAGAGTTTGTTTGGAGAATAATGCTAATTTATTTTTTCCTAGAATATAGGGCTGGTAATTTCAGTCCTCCAGCTATAAATATTTGTGCTTCTCTCTAGTTTGAGATATAATAAGAGGGAGAGAAATTATTTACTCATAACTTCTACATGGTATCAGAGCAGCTCTGATCCATATCTCCTTCCTCAAGCCATCTACCATTGATGACTAAATACATTAAGACAGCCATGGGGAGCGAAACCGAGAGTGGCACTTCCGGTACAACCCAAAACCGATCCTCTATGTACAACACAAGACCCATCCTCTCCGAAGGTGGGATTATACCAATCACCAGTCACAAACTCACCGACCACAACTTCAACCAGTGGTCGCACTCTGTGATGATCTTTAAAAGCGGTAAAGGGGAAGAAGACTATCTAACAGGAGCAGCAGCAYCGGCAGAAGATAGTCAGAATTATCGGACATGGAAGACAGAAAACAACATGGTAATGTCATGGCTATTGAACTCAATGACGAACGGAACTGCTGAGAAGACTATCTAACAGGAGCAGCAGCAYCGGCAGAAGATAGTCARAATTATCGGACATGGAAGACAGAAAACAACATGGTAATGTCATGGCTATTGAACTCAATGACGAACGGAACTGCTGAGAATTCCGTGTACTACAAGACCATTATGACTGGGAACATCAACTTACTCGATGGACTCCAGCCTAATAAGACTGAGGCCAGAGTTTGAACTATCAGATGTAAAGGTATAGGTTCGGTTACTATCTCAAAGGACATTACTTTCAACTTTGTGCTTTATGTCCCTAACTTACCTATAACTTAATATCTATTATTAAACTCATGAAGGATCTTAATTGTACCACTAAGATGTTTTCTACTTTATGCGACTTTCAGGACTTGGTCTTGGGGAGGATGATTGGCAGTGCTAAAATGCATGGGAACCTCTTCCTATTGAAGACAGAGTCTACAGTAAAACCACCAAGAAACCCAACTAGTGCATGTTCTCAATCCAGCCAACAGAGGGAGGATGTTCATTTTGGCATCTTAGATTAGGGCATCCTAATTTTATGTACTTAAAAAGGATATTTCCTTATTTGATTAATATAAACTCAGTTTTATTTCAATGTGAAGTTTGTCAACTTCCAAAACACACTCGAAATTCATATCCAATTCAACCATACAAAGCATCCTATCCGTTCTACTTAATTCATAGTGATGTATGGGGACCATCTAGAATAAAGAACATCTCTGGCTCTAGATGGTTTGTCAACTTTATTGATGACCACACTCGTGTCACTTGGATCTTTCTTATGAAAGATAAATCTGAAGTAAGACATGTTTTTCAAGTGTTTCACAAAATGATGGAAAATCAGTTTCACACAAAGATAAACTGATAATAGAACTGAATTTCTGAGTCAAATTTGGCATCCTATCTAAAAGATTATGGGATAGTCTATCATAGTTCATGTGTCGGGGCCCTGCAACACAAGGGAGTAGCCGAGAGAAAAAACAGACATATTCTAAAGGTTGCTGGCTCATTTTTCTTTACTTCAAATGTTCCATCCATGTTCCGGGCAGATGCCATATTATTGGCAACCTACTTGATCAATCGCATGCCATCTAGGATTCTTCGTTCCAAACACCTCTTCAAACACTCATAATCACATATCCTCATATTAGATTTCTATCGAATACTCCTCTAATAAAGGTATTTGGATGCACAACCTTTGTTCATATTCCACCACAAAATCACAACAAACTCGATAAGAGATCTAGCAAATGTATCTTCCTAGGTTATTCAAGTAACCAGAAGAGATAAAAATGCTACTCCCCTTCTAGAAAAAAGGTTTACAATCGAATGGATGTGACATTATTTGAAGAACAAGTTTTTTTTTTCCGAAAATCTGATATTCAGGGGGACAACATTCGGATGAATATCATATTTGGTCTCAAATGATGCCAAACTCCATACACAGTTCAGCTCAGATTTCCAGCCCAAACACCATTATGCCAAATCCAGCTCTAGCTCCGATTTCCAGGCCTCCTGCGGTCACTGTGCCAAATTCAGTTCTGATTTCCAGCCCTCCTACAGCCTTCGTCACACCAAATTCTGATGTCCTGCAGAAAGAAACCTTGGTGTACTCGAGACAACATAAAGTTGGATGTGAAGAAGAGGTTAACACGCCACACTGTCATGAGACCAACCCAAGTCATGAGTCAAACCTCGGAATATATAAAGGTATGAGTTCCAATCCACATGCAGGTGGTTGTTCCGAAGCTAATAATGCTACTGCTGCTAATTCTGATAAGAGCATCTCAGAAAATGATTCAGATGATCTCGACATTCCTGTAGCACTGAGGAAAGGGAAAAGATCATGTACAGCTCACCAATCAGCAACTTCATGACACATAAAGGTCTGTCATCCATGCATAGGGTCTTTGCAGCCTTTTTAGACTTGATATAAATTCGAAAGGATGTACAAGAAGCTCTTCAACATCCGAAGTGGAAGGTTGTTGAAGAGCAATTGAAGGCCCTTGATAAGAACGACACGTGTGAATACCCTGTCCGTCATCATCCCATTTCGAGGACTTACAGAAATACCTCGAACGGTGCCACAATCCGTTCGMCGTACAACAATGTGTTGAACTACTTCAACAAGTCTGCGTGTAAGATATCCTGCATCTGATGTTCGGATAGCGGTATCCACAACTCCTTTACGGGCTCCGTAACAAGAAATAATATATTATGTTAAAGAGAGTCCTTCGCGTAAATTGCTTACTCGCCCTTTGGTAAGCAAACAGTTGGGTGTAAATGGGTTTTCACAGTGAAGTATAATGCTGATGGAACAATAAATCGATTCAAGGCAAGGTTGGTAGCCAAGGGGTTTACACAATCATATGGAGTGGACTATAGGGAGATATTTGCAAGTCTCACTTGCAGCAAACTTGGATTTAAAGAATTTCTAAATAGGGAACTAGAAGAAGAGGTATACATGGATGTACCACCTGGAATTGACAAATGAATCTTTCGGAAAGGCATGTAAGCTAAAAAGGTCACTTTATGGACTCAAGCAATCACCAAGGGCTTGGTTTGAGAGACTAACCCGAGTGGTGAAACAACATGGGTTCATTCAATGCCAAACCGATCACACCATGTTCATCAAGAATTCCTCAACAGGAAAGAAAGCCATCATGATCGTTTATGTAGAGGACATAATCCTGACAAGGGATCATGTGGAGGAACTCTATCATCTAAAGGACACGCTTGCAAAAGAATTTGAGGTAAAAGACTTGAGAAGACTCAAGTACTTCCTTGGGATGCAAGTGACCAGATCACACAAAGGAAATATACCATCGATCTGCTAAAGGAAACTGGAATATTGGGATGCAAGCCAGCTTAAACACCTATGGATCCACATGGAAGACATCAAGGCGAGGGTAGCAAGTTAACAGATAAAGGGAGCTATCAAAGATTAGTGGGAAAGTTAATCTACTTGGAAGATACAAGACCTGACATAAGCTTTGCTGTTCGAATAGTGAGCAGATACATGAACCAACCAACAGAAGATGATCGAGCCGCTGTATTTTGCATCCTCCAATATCTAAAACAAAGCCCAGGAAAGGGGCTGTTCTTCGGAAAGACAAAGGACAGAGAGATAAAGGTTTCTACTGATGCTCATTGGAGTGGGTCACGAACCGATGGGAGATCCACCACAAGATACTGCACTTACGTATGGGGAAATCTTGTACCATGGAGAAGCAAGAAACAAGCTGTTGTTTCTCGAAGTAGTGCAGAGGCAGAATTTAGAGCGATGTGC